TTCTGAAAGAATGAAGGCCAGACAAAATTGAGAGAAATCAAAGAAACCTGTGTTTCTCCTCAGATTCAGCACAAGCATATCTGGAGGCTAAGGCATTTTGATCTAGGGATTCTACAAAGAGGAATAAATCTCTGTTTTTGAGGGACTCAAGAGAAAACACCACTTTTGGGATATAACCTAAAGTAGAGACTCAGTGTGTGGTATGCTATCACCAGCCAATGCTGCAGATGACATGCTGAGTCAAGTGGTAACAAGTATGGTCAGTTGGATAGGGGGGCCACTAAGAGAAGGGCAGTACAAAGATCCTGGTAAAGCCTCTTTTAACTATAATTGCCTCCCTGTGTCATGTAGGACAGTGAACCCCCTGTAATCATGCAACATTAATTTAATTTTGTGTCCCCTGATCTATAAGTGCTCTTCCAGGCCCTTTGTGTAGCCAGCTACTTCAAATCTTAATTTTTTTTAGCTTAAATATCACCTCAGAGAGGCCAACCCATATTTAAAGCAGGCTTTCTATCTTATTCTGTATCAGTATTCACTTTGTTCATAGCACTTATTACAATTTGGAATTATTTAATTCATTAGTTTACTTGTTTTTTGTCTGTCTTTTCTACTGTATTGTAATAAGCTCCATGAGAGCGGGAATCTTTTTTTTTTTTTAAAGAGAGAGAGAGAGAATTTTTTAATATTTGTTTTTTAGTTTTCGGTGGACACAACATCTTTATTTTATTTTTATGTGGTGCTGAGGATCGATCCCAGCTCCCTGCGCATGCCAGGCGAGCGCGCTACCGCTTGAGCCACATCCCCAGCCCGAGAGCGGGAATCTTGTCTGACTTGTTCACTGATGTATCCTACCCAAATGTAAAATATAATAGGTATTCAATAATAAGTATAACTTTAAAAAAAATATTGACAAGATATGTCATGCATGGCGAAGATAAAATTTTCATGAATATATACTAATGCATAGTGTTGAATACAAAAACAGTTAAAATTCAAGTAGAAATGGAAAAAAACTACAATAATGGTAGGAAATAATATATATTTTTTAGTCGTTGACATAGAAAATATAGTTCATTCAGATAATAGAATTTAGCTTGATTTAATATTTATAATGGAATTCATTGTGAGAATACATTTTCAAATGTCTTTGAAAGTTTTTATTAAAATGAGAAAGAAGATTTATCATTGATATCAAGGAAATTTAAAAGTGTAAGTCAATATTCCTATGATTCTGTTCTTATAATTACTTTTGTAAGTGGATAGTTTCCTAGGGAAATGAAAATAATGAAATTGACTCATGGATAAGAAGAAGTAAAAAGTTAAAGAACTATATATACCCCTCCAAAAAGTAGACTCAGAATTGAATTGATGAATTTTCTCGAAACTTAATGGATAAAATAATTATTATGCTGTTTAAATCATCTCACTATAGAAAAGATAGGAATTTTCCTAGATTATTCTATGAAGCAAGTGTAACTCCCATGCCAAAATCTATAGGTACAGCAAATAAAACTACAGATACACTTAAGAATGTTGATCCACCCTGGCATGAGGGTGCATGCCTGTAATCCCAGCAGCTTGGGAGGCTAAGGCAGGGGAATCGTGAGTTCAAAGCCAGCCTCAGCAAAAGTGAGGCACTAAGCAACTTAGACCCTGTCTCTAAATAAAATGCAAAATAGGGCTGGGGATGTGGCTCAGTGGTTGAGTGTCCCTGAGTTCAATCCCCAGTACTCCCTCAAAAAATATTGATCCACAAAGCCTACAATAGCATTAGAATTTGTGGGCTTTATTTCAGGTATGCAACATTTTAATATTGGAAAATATTAATATTTAACAGTTGATATACAGGAAGAAATATGGTCATGGAAATAAATAATGAAATCGTTTGATAAAATCCTGCTTCTATTTTAGATTAAAACTGAAACAACAGAAAATTTGTAATAAATTATGATTAGATAAATACATCCTTTATTTAATAAAAGATATCTGTCCTAGGGCTGGGAATGTAGCTCAGTGGTGAGGGCACTTGCCTAGCATGTATGAAGCCTGGGTTTAATTCTCATTTCATATCTATCTATCTATCTATCTATCTCTCTATCTATCTTAAGCTAGCATCCAACATTATACTCGATTAAAAACTAACATTCCTATTAAAGTCAAGAAAAACTAAGAATGCCTATCATTATAGTGGTTATTCAACATAGATTTAGAAGTAAGTTCTAAGTAGTGGAATGAAAGAATAAAACGAATCATGTAAAACCACAAGAATGGGAAATTACCCACTTGAATCAAAGTGTGGAATATGATATGTCAAGAAATTTGTAATGTTTTGAACAACTCACAATAAAAAATTTAAAAAAAAATAAACAATAAAAAGCAAAAAAAAATGGGAAATTATACTCCATGTATGTATAATATGTCAATATACACTCTACTGTCATATATATCTAAAAAGAACAAATAAAAATTTTAAAAAAAGAAGAAGAAAAAGAACTATTAATATTGGAAAGAAAGGAGACAAAACTGTCTATACTTATGATAATATGATTGGCTATATGGAATTAAATTGAAGAAAAATAAAACTAATGAAAGTAAATTTATGGGAGTAAGTAGGTAAGAAAATATAAGAACAAAAATAAATAACTCTCTTATGTACCAGAAATCAGCTATAAAATGTGGTGAATGGATAATATTTATATAACAACAAAATATTTATGATACCTGAAAATAAATATAAGAAAGGTGCAGGATATACATAAATGCAACTATAAACTTTTACCCAGTGATATAAAAAGAGACTTGAATAAATGGAGAAACAAAACAATAATTAGGTGAGAAAATTTAGCAAACTACCACTTCTTTCCAAATGAATCTGCATTTAACTGAATTTATGCCTAGCATGGGACACACAGTAAATAGTTTTTTGAAAGAATGCTTAAATAAATGAATACAATCACAGTAAAAACCTAATTAGGATTTTTTTTGACTTGACAAAATTGTCCTAAGTTTCATCTAAAAAATTCTTCAGAGTTCAGAATAAAATTTTGATAAAAAAGATTAATGAAATAATTGCTAGTTAAGCTTATTAAAACAGAACAATAAAAGATCAATTTTCACTGGTATTGATGCATGAACACATAAATTCGTGGAATGATAAAATGTCAAGAAACGGGTCTATATAAAAACTTAGAATGTGATGATCTTATAAAATAGAAATGATGAATTTAATTTTCTTCACTTTTTTTGGTTTTATTCAAGAATTCTAGACAGAAAAGTAGGTTTTTGTTCTATTTCTTTAGCAATTTTAGCTATTATGGCTACACAGTAGCACCAACAGTTTTCCTCATAGTCTCTTAGATAACTTATTTCTATTTTTCTCTAGTAATAATAACCTATTATATATTTTATGAAGATCTGAAAGAGAGGAGTTTGAAGGCTCCAAACCTAAAGATATGGTGAAAGGGAAATGTTCATTACCATGACCTGATTGTTGTGTGCTATATAAATTATTGAAATATCACACTATAGAAAATATTTACAATTAATACATGTTAATCAAAAATATAAAGGATGGATTTAATAAATAGTATTAGGAGAGCTTAAAATGTATCCCTAATTAATAACATATCCCAAAATGTATAACAAATGGATTAAATATTTTAATTTTAAAAGTGAAATGTTGAAGGAACCATTAGAGTGCAGAATGTCTTCCTAAACATGACCTGAAAAGCAGAAATATCAAAAAGATTGACAGATTTTAAGAAATAATAATGAGATTGATAGATTTGATTACAAACAAAACTTGAAATTTCAGAACCTCCCAACATCATAAATCATGTAACTGACTTCCTTGAAAAAATATTTGTAACTTGTGGCAGATTAAGACTTAAGTTCCCTATTACACAATTGAATGTATGAAAGATGTAAACTTAACTGATGACTAAAGGTGCAAATCAAAACAAAAGGCATTTTGTTTTAATTTGGCCATCAAATTCGGAAATTACAAAATACAGGATGGAAGAATATTGGTACTTTCTTGTACTACTTGTAGAAGTATACTTTGGGGTAGCTTTGGAGAGTAATTTGCATATGGTCAAGAGCCAATCAATAAGAATTTATGTTAAGAACTTTTTCATAAATATCTTCATATATATATAGCTCCAGTGATAATCTGCAAACCAGTGATAATCATTGCCGTGTTCTTTATAACAGCAATAAATTGCTAACAACCTAAATTTTTTTTAATAGGGAAATAGTTAACAGTTATAATTGAGCTTTATATTGAAATACTGGGGTATTATTTTTTTAATATTTATTTTTTTAGTTATAGGTGGACACAATACCTTCATTTTTATTTTTATGTGGCGCTGAGGATCGAACTCAGTGCCTCACGCATGGTAGGTAAGCGCTCTACCTCTGAGCCACAACCCCAGCCCCCTGGGGTATTATTAAAGAGAATGATAGGTAATAATGATATGGACAAACCTTTGCTAACCTTCTGTTTTATAGGAGCGAATTGTGTAAACATGGCAAAAATGTTCTTTGAAATACTGAGAAAGGAGGATAAGAAAGGTTTTATTGTACCTAAGACCTTAATTTTTATCATTATATAAGGAAGCCAACATATTTGCCAAGAATTTCTGTGATGAGTTCTGATTTAGTTGGAATATATACTTTTTCAATTTATAGGCCTTTAAATGTCAGTGTTGTTTGTCAGAGGGAAGTTCACTATTATAAATCATTTCACAGGGCAATAATAGAATTTGTCAGCCTAAAGCTTAAGCATTTGTAAATTGAATACTTTCTTAGTTTCATAGGAAAGGAGAACTATAATTTGATTATTAATAATACCTATGATACTGTGAGATTAAAATACAATATCTGTTATCTATTAGACTTTCCATAATTAATTTCAGCAAAAATAATTGCTGTTAAAGGGTCATTGATAGTAATGAATGCTGTATATGCTGTGATTAATAATTTTAATTTTTCTAAAGGGTTCTCAGATTCTGTGACTGCAAATGAATTCATCCTATGGAAGAATAAAGATGCTGATGGCCAATCTCTGGAAGAAACATCCACTTGGAAAGCTCTGTTGATTTTTTTCTTTCCAACAAGTAAGTTCTTATTTGACCTTTTTGTCAATGTCCTTGTTTTGAAAACAGAAAATGGATCCTGCTCTGCCCTTTGCCTTAGGCAAGATAATCTCTCATCTCAATATCCTCATCTTTAAAATGAAAATATTTACCACAAAGTCTTGTGAGGGTGAATCAAGACAATTATTTGTAAGGCATTACATAAATGTTTGTTATTCTTCACAAAATATATTTCCTTCACGAATACCTAAAGCTTTCAAAATTTACCTGAATAGCATTGCCAGAAATTTAGTCATTGACTCAGTATTGTGAAATTGATGTTGTCTGTGGCATTAAACAGAATATTGTGTGGCTTTGATGTTTTGAAGTATAACAGATGTTTTCCCATCTGTTTTAATGATAAAAAGTACAGGTTTCAAGTCACATCTTCTTTTTTGTGATTCTGTATATAATGTGTTTATCAAGCACATGATAACCCTTGAGAATTATTAACTACAAATAAACATGTTTCTTTTTGTATAACATGTGGTGCACTTTCAAGCAGAAGCTTCACATAAATTGACCTATGTGAATTGCAAAGATCAAGCTTTTATTAAGAATAGTGTAGAATTTATTCTAACAAAATTTGATGTATGTTTATGAGCACAAATTGATATCCACTGTTTAATTTCAGACCCTACCACCGAATTCTATGACCTTGCATAAATCTTTTCCTGTTTCCATATACTGCTTCCATTAAGTACAAAATAGTCATTAAAATACCTACTATCAATGAGAATAGCAGAATAATTGAGTTCTTTAAAATAAATTAAAATACTGGAATGGTCAAATTGAGTGAAAAAATGAAAAACTGGGAAGGTGTTAATGTTATGTAGGCTAAAAGAATGTTTTACTGAGTGCCAAAGTTGGTCATAAATAACAAAAGACAATTTACACTTTAGAACTTAAGTAAACTGTCATGTGTTCATAATAGCTGTAATATACAAACACTGAAACCATATTTTAAAAGTTATTTGCATTTACCCAAAATTTCTCTTAACCTGATAAAATGAATTGAAATAAAATCATTTTTATGGAATAATTTTTTCAACAAAATCAAATTGTTTCCTTTTTTTAGAAGCATCTGAACTACACTGATTCAAATCTTGAGTGATTAAATATTTATAAAATGTACATATTATCTTGTTTGAAAAGAATAACTAAAAATAGCTAATGGAGAGCATTTTGAATGTTTCAGCACAAAGAATTGATAAATGTTTAAAGTGATGGATATATCAGTTACCCTCATCTCATCAACACACACTGTATACATGTATCAAATATCACACCGTACTCTATAAATACGTATAATTAATATGTGTCAGTTAAAAAGAAAAAAATAATAACTACATGTTCGTAAAATGTGAACTATTTTAATCAATTTGTTTCCTCCTCTATGTAATTGGAGATAAACACTCTTACTGTTCAAGCATTAAAAATAGCCTTGTTTTGCCACTGGACTGTTGTTTGCAAAATATTCATCTCTTAAAGATTAAAATGATAACCTTGAGACAGACTGGTAAGGAAGCTTTAGAGGTCATCTGATCCTTCTTCCTCTTAGACGAAATTACATATTTAAAACTGATAAAATTGCTTTACTCTTTCTTTAAAAGTTTGACACTGTTTGTCTTTGATATGCATTTTCAGTGTTACTTAGGATGTGAGGAAGCCATAAAAATTAAATATGTCTTAATAAGTGAGCAATACATTACAGCAAAATTGCTCTGTTCTTTAAAATTACAAGTGTCTCTTATTGAGTCTGAAAGTTAATTTTAATATCTAGCAAAGTCCATCAGATGCAGTTTAATTATAAAATAATAGAAGTTTAGCATTAGAAGGGACCTAGAGATTATCTAGTCCAGTATCTACTATGATTTAAACCCTCTTTTTAGCATTCCTGGAAAGTAGTATTTATACAATGCAAATAATGGTGAGAAACTCAGGATGAAGTCAGTCTATCCCATCTCTAACTAGATCCTGACTGTTGTCAACCTTTCCTGGGTGTCTGACATTAGAACTGAGTAGGGTATTTCAGATGAAGTCCAACTTGGGGAGAGGAGAGTTATTGTGGGCCTAGCAGAACTGAAGATTGCTTAGAGTATATAACAGTAGGATAAACTTATCCATCTAAAATGTCTAGAAAATGAATATCCAGGTCAATTGGTAATGCATTAAGTTTTTAACTTTGTAGAATTTACTGTGGTCCTTTATTTCCTTATTTTTAAAATGGAGATTATAAAACTTAGTTTGGGAATTTGTTGTGAAGTTTAGTAGTAATGTGGGTAAAGCAAGGTGTCTGTCCAAAGATATGCCTAATGAATGGTATCCATTATTATTTTTATCTTAACTTCAGGAATTGCCAGTCTTTAAAGAAAAAGAATATAATAAAATGTATTGAGAGGTTAAAATATACTTAAAACAATTTAATTGTTCTTTACTGATGTTTTAGAATGATTATAAAATATTTGTTTTTTCTTTAAAGCCTGTAGTAGTTGAACAAAAGATTGAACTGTATCTATTTTTGCCTTAAAACATACCTGAATGTATATATTAATATATAATTTTGTTTGGTATATGTCTATTTATTTAATATACGTATAACATATTTAATATATGTCTGTTTAATTTATGTATTAATGTAAATCTTTGATGTATGTTTTTCTTTTTTTTTTGTTTTGTTTTGTTTGGTATTAGGGATTGAACCCAGGGGTGCTTAACCACTAAGCCATATCCCCAGCTATAACCCCAGCCCAGTACATGAATTTTTTTACAGTTACATGGAACCTTGGTGTTTATGACCAAAACTGCTGCTTTTTAAAGTTATAGAATCATAACTTAAGGATAAATGGAAGAATATTAAAATATATTATAGTGCCTGTATGATAAGTGTACACAAATATTGGTCAATACCAGTGAAATCACTTACCTTACTCTCTCACAATAAAACATAGGAATTTTACTTATTGATGCATTCAATGAGTTACTGTAGCTTAGTAAAATTAAGTAAGAAGTTGTCTGTGATATTGTCTTAATGGAGTATTAACTTTAAGGGCATTTGGCTTGTGATTTAGATCATTATGTGTTATATTTTTATCACTACCACTCAGTTCATAATTTATATTTCCTTTTTTTTTCTCTTTGGTACTGGGGATTGAACCCAGGGGCACTTAACCACTGAGCCACCACCCTGGCCCTTTTAAAAAATATTTTATTCAGAGAAAGGGTCTCTCTGAATTGCTTAGGGACTTGCTAAGTTGCTGAGGCTGACCTTGAACTTACAATCCTCTTGGCCTCAGCCTCCTTAGCCACTGGGATTACAGTTATACGCCACCATGACTGGTTTCCTATATTTTTTAAAATCATTTTTTACCAATGATTTGTTGACAATTTGTATTTTTCTTCATTACATCTACAATTAGAAATGTGATGTTAGCTAGGAATGGTGGTGCATGCAGGTGATCCCAGTGACTCAGGAGACTGAGGTAGGGGGATCTTAAGTTCAAGGCCAGCCTCAAAAACTGAAAGAGGCCCTGAGCAACTTAGTGAGACCCTGTCTCAAAATAAAAAAAAAAAAAAAAAGGACTGGGAATGTATTCAGTTGTAAAGTGCAGAGTTTCATCCCCAGTAGTAGTATAATAGTAGTAGTAGTAGTAGTAGTAGTAGTAGTAGTAATGTGATGTTAAGTAACTCTGAATTTTTTTCTTATTCTCTCATTTAACTCTTATTTTTCCACATTAATTTGTATTTGTATATGTCATCCAATTTTTCAAAATATACCAGCTTATGTTTTTCTTTTTCCTTTATTTAATTGTTTAAATGGGGAAAGTGCTTACTAACCATGTTGAATTCTCTTTTTTGTATTTCTGTATTTGTTTCCAATCTTATTTCTGTATTTCTGTTTTGAAAAGCATGCATTGTAAAGGAGAATCAAGAATTAAAGCCTTGTAAAGAACTGGAGAATCTTAATGAGACTGAATGTTTGAGATACAAGTGCTGTTTTTCATCATCCGGGACCAAGGACTTGAGTTGTTTTACCCCATTAACAGATAGTAAGTTCATCCCATTTCATTTATTTTATTTATGTTTTTAAATTGAGTAAATATTTCACAGTGGTGTAAGTTCACATTTGGATCTCCCAGCTTAACACTTGAAGAGACCTCCCAGCCCTAGAGCAATGCTGTCATTAGAAAGTCCTGAGGTAGTCAGGAGTATTCATGCACAGTTTCTGCTTAACTCCTGGATGGTGACTATCACCATTCAAAATCAGTCTCATTTTTACTTTTGTTTTAATCATTCTCTGCCTTTTGACTCAAGTGTTCTAGGCTCTATTATGCATAACACTCAATGCCTGGGAGATAGTACTGTAGGGGTAGAAAGGGGATGATACCTTTCCTGCTCATCTTAAAGGGTCATGGATGATACCCCTGTAGCAAAAGACAGATTAATAAAAGAAAATCATAAAGAAGTTTATTTGATAATAGTTTTATGAGACACCGGAACCATCAGGTTAAAGATCCAAAGGTGCAGGGTGAGTGATCCAATTTTATATTTACATTCCATGATGCATGGAAAACCATGTAGAAATAAGATTGGACAAAAATAGTATGATCTAATTCTAACAAACTAGGTGGAGAAATCCAGTGAATCCTGTTCATATTGTTCTTGGTCTCTGTGCAACATTTCTTCATCACCAGTATGGGGCAGGGCCCTTTCTGAAATTAGACAAATTAGGTCATAGAATTTCTTTATGGTTAACTCCAAGGCAGAAAGGTGGGGAAGATAAGAGTATTATTTTAGGCATATATCTTATTTTGGATAAAAGGAATTCTAGTTTCTATGACCTGTTTTGGGGAAGAGAAAGTCTAGTTTTTATGCCTTTTCTTTGAGAGAGGTTAAGTGGAGCAGGATATAGGAGCACAGGAAGAGGTCAGAAAGAAACTCTGCTTCTGAGTCCTTTATTTTGGTTTATCATTTTCTGAGTCCCAACAATATCAGTTGGCATGCCTTCACTTTCTTTTTCCTAGCTTTTTTTCCTGAGTAGAATTTTTCCCATTTATGTTGTTTTCAATATCTCAGCATGAAGCAGTAGACCCAAATGTTTCTTGTTAAGGTATGTTTATTAGCTTTTCTTTGTTCTATTGTTTTTGACTTATGTTCTTAATTTTTTTTTCTAAAGTTTTGAGAGCTAGACCATCTGTTTTTATTACCTTTATTTGGATAGTGGGGACATATTATCAGTTGGTCCCATGATGAATGGATTTGATGTGATGGAATACTAACAAGCACTATGAAAAGGATGCATGCAAAACAATAACTTACGTTAATATAATCTCTATTCAATTTACAGCTCTTTGTTGGATATCTAGTATTAATAATGAAAACTAAAGCCTGATCATGAATATAGTGTTATAACTTTCACAATGTCACATGGTATTTATAATTCATTCATTAATTTGGTCTTTATGTTTGTGTGAAGAGACATTTGGTTCTTTTAGAGGAAAAAATTGAACCGTGACTTACAATTCCCCAATCACATTAGAAGGAACTTCCCAATGAATATGAGACTAAATTATGCTTATTCACCTGCAAATTCTTGATTCCTTATTTAATTTAATATTTTGTAATTTTGAAGTAAACATTTAAGAAGCCATTTCTTTACCAAGTTAACTGTTCATAGATTAATTTTCTCCTCAAGTGCTCTGGGATGTATAACATATGGCCACAGAAAAAAGCTCACTTAGGGACAAAAGAGATGTATACTATGCATTATTATAATCTGTTAACAAAAACAGTAGGATCATTTTGCTAAGGTATTCATCAGGAGCAGCATATTGAAAATGCTGCCTTGAATTGCATTTCAAGAACATTCGTGGATGGTGGATGTGTAACTGATGTGATTCTGCAATCTGTATTTGGGGTAAAAATGGGAGTTCATAACCCACTTGAATCTAATGTATGAAATATGATATGTCAAGAGCTTTGTAATGTTTTGAACAACCAATAAAAAAAGAACATTTCTTAAACTCTTGCAGCTTCTAGATTCATAAGGATATTTACCTGTTATATAAGAATACCTCCTTATTTTACTTTATTAAATAATAATTTTATAAAGACTTTATGAAAGAACCCAAATTTGCTTCTCTTGCTTAAGTCATAAAAGTAACATGATATAATTAAACCAACAGAGCCTACACAGATGCTCCGGATGTTTGGGCTTGGTGTGATCAGCATGATCACCCTGGGATGTCTGCCCATTTATTGCTGCTCTCTTTGCCAGAGGAGGTAGGCAAACATAAACTTTTATTCGTGAATTGCTAAGTAAATGTGAATTTTTGTGTATAGGCATATTTATTTAGATGCTTCAGAAATACAGCAATTATGTTTGAGTTCCTTTTGTTTAAAGGAAATAGGTTGGGAAAAACTTAAAAAAGTAGAGTTAACATGATATTTTTTTAAAAAAACATGTTATTTTTCCACAAATTCAAACATTTTCTTGCATAGGGTCTATTCATTCCCTTGTCCAACAACATAAAGGAAATAATAAATTGACAAGCTGGAGGTGTGTGGAATGGGAATGAGTATTAGTTCCCAAAGCACAGTGATTTCTGGAAGGGTTTGTCTTTATTGAGTCATCTGCCATTGGTCTTTAATGGTCATCTACCATTGGATTTCAAAGCCTTGTTCTGTCTTCAATCAAGCAAAACTGTACTAGATTTCCTCTTAGTGTATCATAAGAAATTCTAGTGGGCTACTAGCACAGTGTTTCCAAATTTGTTTATTTTTAATAGCTCCCCACCTACTGGGACAGAGTGGGTATGGAGTATCAGAGCAGAGCCCGGACTAGGGTAAGAATTATGCAGTATTTAGAGCACAGACATTAATAGGAAACAACTCCTTCTCACGTATGTGCAAATGTAGAGGCAGTATTGTCATGACCCTGAGAGTAAGTACTTCCTTAAATTCTCAGGAAAATTACATATTGAAGATTAAGCATCTTTTATGTTTTTGTTCAAGTTAATGGGACAATAGTATCTGCACTCTCAAAAAATTTGGTTAAGATTTCACTGGAAGATTTAGACTACACACCTGTTCCCTTACTTTCCATAAAGATCATCAGGTTTTGGTTATATTACCGTAACAAGACTATTTTGAATCCACTGTTGGGTCACAGTATTTCAAATACTCTAGCTTGCATGTGACAATCAATTCTTTGCTCAGATTTTGCTTAGCTTCCTACTCTGAGCTGATAATGGCTATTCCTTGGTCTTTTTCATTTTTTTTCCAAGATAATTGGGTGTAAGAATGGAGTTTGTTTTTTTTACCCCTACTTCTCTTCAAAGCTTAGTTTCATATAAAAATAGCCCATGATGAAAGTGAAATATTTGATAGAATTTGGTGGTTAGGATTATGCCATATAGTGTATTGGGGAAAATAAGCATGACATACTATTTCATTCCAGTTCCTCTCTTAGTCCTCTGCCAATGAATTTTATGAGATACAGGTCTGCAGGATTTTTTTTCTTTGAAATTAAATCCAAAGGATTATCCCCTGATATGAATATATTGTACTTTTTTATGTAATATAAACTATTTGAGAAACATGAATAGTGAATATGTAAGTGGATTGAACACCATGTGTTTTGCTCTATGTTTTATTTACTTTACTCTTTTGTGTGAGACCAATATGCTTCGTCTATCATCCTAAGCTAGCCCCAGAGCCAGTGGTCACTTTTAGCTTGATATTTAGCTGAGTTTCCAGGAACAATGGTAGAGGGTGGATGGGACACTGTCAGCTTTTCCTGGTAAGCTGATTTTAGAAACAAGGACAATAATTGTGTGAGAATGGAAATCCCATTCCTGATACCAGGTAAGGAGCTAAATAGATACCAAAGGCTGCTAACTCCCCTTTTGGGGGACAAGATATCACCTTAGAAAGCTCTGATTAACTCACTTTTTGTTCTCCATTTCAAAGAATAAGGAGGTAAACAAACTATTAGAGAAGAAAAAAAAATAAATGATTCTATAAAAGGGAAATAGATACAGCAGTAAAATCAATATGTAGCAATCTAAGAAGGAAAAGAAAGAAGCCAAATACAGTTGTTTATCTAAATCACTGGAACTAAAAGCCAAATACAGATCTGCAGTAACATGATACTGGCCTCTTCTCTAAGAATCTTTTGCTTTTTCTGCATTGGAAGTTATCCTTATGTTCTTCCTTCTGGGTCCTGTCTTAATACATTAAATACTTGAGAATTCCTTGAGGAAAAAGCTGTGGTAGTTCTCTTCTCTTGGCCTTCAGTTGCAAGCAAAAACATAGAAGGTTTGACATTCCCCTGCTTCTGCAATTTTGATAGTGACTTTTTTTTATAGACTACCTAAGGAACTAACAGCTGGCAAAGTTGGGGACGTGAACAATTAGAAGTAATCTATTCAAGTAGAAGAAGTGAAAGCAATTCAGGTGAAAAGGATAATCACTCCCCAGAGCCAAATGTACTTCATTCTTTTGGTGCCTCATTCATGCTTTCCTCAGTTGACTATGATCCATTCAGTATTTACTTGTGCTAGATAGATGGAGAATACAGGAACATCTCATAGGCCCTACTTTTAAGGATCTTAAAATCATCCTAAAACAAATCTCAAATATGACACATTTAATTAACAACAGAAAGTAGAATATAATTAAGGAATGAAAAGAGTGTTAGAAATAACTTATAAAAGGTTTGAAGCAGTGGGGAGCAGGGTGAGTGGGAGAGGGCAGGGCAGGTTCCATGGTAGAGATGCCATTTGAGGTGTTTTTTTTTTTTTTTTTTTAATTTGCTCTTTTTATATACACAAGACAGTAGAGTATATTTTGACATACATACATAGAGTATAACTTATTATAATTAGGATTACATTCTTATGGTTGTACATGATGAGTTTTTAAAGGGAGGACAAAGACTCTTTCCATAGAATTCATTACCTACAGATAGATTTGATCTCGTTTCCTTAACTGCTTGTCATTTCTTCCATTTTTCTTTTTCTTTTCTTTTTTTGTACTCAGAATTGAATAAGGGATGCTTTACCACTGAGCTGTGTCCCCAGTCTCCCTCCCCCTTTTGAGACAGAGTACATCTAACTTGCTGAGGCTGGCCTCAAACTTGTGATTCGCCTACCTCAGCCTCTCCATTCTCTCAGATTACAGGCATCCACCACTGTTCCCTGCACTGTTTGTCATTTCTAAGAAGAGGTGGTTTAACATTTTCCCTGGAATAATCTGTAACTGAATCTCTAATTTACTTTTGCTAGATTTGAACTTAGATGTCGTATGAACCAGGTGCACAAAAAAACTCAAGCTAGCTTGAAATGGTTGCACATGAACAACAAGGGAGGGGAGAGCATAAGTGAAAAACCAGTATTTGCTACAGGTAGCCTTACTATAAACTTGCATATTAGATGTGTTTTGAAGTTCATTGCATCCTCAAGGTTATGGAAGATCTATTTTTATCCTCATTAATAGGGATCAGAAGCATCATTAGGTCTAAGTATCACTGATGTGCTTAAGACTTATTTAGAGGAGAAGGAGGGAAAAGATCAAGTTGATGGGAACAAAAGGAAGCATAGGAGGGGGGTTCTAGGGAGAGAGAGAGGAGGAGGGTAGCTGAATTGTTTGCATTACAGTAATAGAATGCCAGTGATGGTGGCTTCAAGGGTTAAATTTACTTTATGGTCTTTTTCTGTTCTTAAAGTTTAAGTCTGTGTTCAACTGCCAGTTAAACAACTGCATATTTAATAGTGATAGGATACTTGAACATGTACATAACTTAGGTAAGATGAGAAAAATCTTTATCAAATTCAGATGAAATGATTTTCATGTTGTTCTTTCTGTGAGATTGAATTTGTAACTCTGAATTATGAAATTTCAGAACTAAGTCTAAAAATTGAAAACTATATTTTGCCAACTAAGAAAAAGCCATTTTTAAAAGATTGTTGATTATCTGATACACAGGTGATGTGAAAAACATATTTTCTATTATACTTTCAATGTTGCTACTTTCCAGATGGTTATTATTGAAAATTTTTATGTTTAGACAAATCCTGTTGCATGATTCTCTGTATTATAATATGGTCTTCATTTTGCACATAGTCTTACTGCCACTTATTTTCTTAGAATGGGAGTTGAAGAATTGAGAATAAATGTGTTAAAAATTGCCTAAAATCATCACCCATTGAATTTAACAAAATATACATTTACATTTTTGAAAGCCCATGTTTGTATGTTTTATTATATTGTATAACATAATTAGTAATGTTTGTAGTTGAACACAATACTTTTCATTTTATTTATTTATTTATTGTGGTGCTGAAGATCAAACCCAGCACCTTGCATATACTAGAGCACTCTGCTGCTGAGCCACAACCTCAGCCCCAGTAATGCTCTTTTGAAAAGCTTATCTAGTAATCAGCCAACTGCTGGAAAGTTTGAAGTTCCTAGGATTATACATATATTAATTTAGAGAAAGGAAATAAAATCTATAAATATGACTATGCTCTAAGTACTTTGATAAAATTATGTCAGATGAGAATGTGAGTGAACTCAAATGCCCTTCTAACTTCACTATAGATTTGAAATATGTATAAAGCCAGTTCTTCTTGGACTCTGTTCAAGCTAATTTAGTTATTAAAATATAAGAGAACTTTATTATATGTGGATTATATGACTTAGGTATTCCTATGCAAGGTCTTCCAGGGCAGCATTTTAGAGAATTCTGAAACAGAAGGTATTATTGAAAAGAACAGTGTCTTGCCAAGTAACTAAAAACTTTATTGCAGAATACAGTGGCCTTTTTGCTGAATTCCTGTTCAACTTGACCTTTTGGTCAAATAATACACCATTGACTGTTCCCTTCTTGAGCTATCCTCCCTTGGATTTCATTATGCCTTACTATTCTGATCCATTTTAGTGTGATCTTCTTCCCCTTGCAACTGTGGTTGTTTTCCAAATCTTTGCTCTCATTTATAAGAAGATGTACTAGAAAGAACATTTTAAGATCTGTGTTCTAATTCTGCTTTCGCCTCCAATTTCATAGATAAGCTGAAACTATTTACATATTGATTTTCTAATAAAACTGGATAATTGAATTACATAATTTCCAAGGTCCTTTCCAAATATCATATTCTGAGATTCTTTGGGTGAATGTCTCTTAAAATCTGAATCCTGAAGTCTTCACTTTTACTTATTCCATATTTCCAGCTGCTCTTGGGAATTACATATTTTTTCAGCACCCTAAATGCAACACATGC